CGGCGGCAGTCGTGGGGTTTTATGCATGCCCGCAGCTGAAATTAATTGCATTCGCGGAAGTTGATTATGTCCATTTAAATAGCCACGATCACGAGCGAGCGGGAGCGCTCGATGGTTCCGTGGTATTGCAAAAACATGGATCGGCTTCAAAGACTCACACGCGGTTTCCTATTAATTCTACACCTGTACGCCGCATCGTAACTGGTGTAGAATTATGTTTCGTTCGTGCGTGTCGGCGTGGTTGTTTGCCTCTCAATTCTTTTACTTTTGTTTCGTCGCGAAACGGCGGATATTAATTTCGCACGCACGATTTCCTTCGCTCCGACTGGAAATGCTTAACACGCATCTATAGAAAAAATCGAAATCTGTACAGCTGCAAGAAGCTTCGAGTTTCATAACGCAAACGTATATAGTAATGATCCTTATGTTTATTGATGACGATACAATCGCTGTAATTGACACAAGATTGAATAAATTAGAGTGATTGTAATCACACGAGTAAAATATCGAAATGTTCTTCAATGATGTGCTTCTGTGTGCATCATTAACCACGCTAAAGATGATATTACGAAATTAATTAGTTTTCGTGAAATTATGCAAGTTGTGTGCCACTGGCTTGATTACACATTACAGAATTTCATTTTAGTATACGCCGCATTACTAATATTCAACTATCAGCGTCGTGCGCGCTTTACCTCACGAATATTCTTCGTTAAAAGAGAAATATATCAAACATGCTTTTTTTAATTAATTCTTTTGCCTCTCTTTGCTGTTGCCGTTGATGTACCACAAAGGACCACAACGAGCACGGTAAAAAGGAAGCGTTACGCACGATGTAGTTTTAATAAAGCGTGTGTTATTCTTTGTAAGGGTCATGTATAATTATTATATTTTTTCTGTAGCAGCAAAAATATAGAGCGAATTTATTCGTAAGAATTTATTGCGCAAGCTTATATAACAGATTCGTAACAAATGTCAAGTTTGTTATTTTATATGCTAGGTTTTTCTAAAATACAGAATAGCATTTTCAAAGTGACTAGATGGTCAATTTTTGAAATAGATTATACCTTCGAAAAAATTCACCTCAAATTTGTTAAAACATTTTTGGAGAGAAACTTTCAGAATGTTATTACTTTGCAAAACGCGTTTAAATGCGTTAATTTAAAAAATTCACAAAGGCGAAATATTTCGGACGTAAAGACGGTGAGCAACAATTATTCGCATCACTGAGGATACCGTAACACGTTATTTTGAAAAGTTTAGCGAGGCATGTTACACGTATCGCGCACAAAGACGGGTCGCGCGAACAGTTAAAGGGCGTTTTATTTAAGTTCGGCATTCGGGCGCGCTCTTCCATCGGGCTTTTGTGTTTTAATAGGGCGCAGAATTGTACGCGCGCGCGACGGACGTGATTCTATTTTGTGTTTCGGCTACGCACTTACCCGATTTATCCGCACTTAATTTACAAGCTTGGTTGCATATAGCAGGCCGCGTTTTCCGACTAAGTTCGCCCATAATTTACTCCTACGTGATCTCCGCTTCGCATAAATCCTCACACGATCAGCTTATATTATATCGTCTAACGATGTCCACATAGGAGCGGCGAGTGTCCACACATACACGATGATCTGCGCGCGAGCGTATGTGTGCGCATCGGGTTTTCTTGTTGTCACGCTTCCAAGGGATATATCGCCGACAGATAGAGAGGATCACGGGTGGAGAAAGGGGCACGCGGAGAGGGAAAGACAGAGACGGGAGAGAGTGCACGATCTGCCTTTGAAAATCCCTCCTATAATTAAATTGTCTTTTATATTCAGACGAGGGCTGAAAATGAAGCTAGTCCCGGGATAAACCTGCCGAGCCGTTCCGCCGGTTCTGCCTCTCTCTTCCTTCCTCTTTCTCGCGCTCCTCTTCCTCCGTGTATCTCCCATCTCCGTTTCCTCTCCGCGACGCCTTTTTCCCGATCTGTCTCGATCTCTTCCGTCCGCTCACCTCGACCTCCCACCCTCCCCCTCCTATTCCCCTCTTCCTCGCTATTTTCCTTTTTCTCGCGGAGGGCAACGACACATTCTCTTCGACGGGTTGCCTCTGTTTTCCATACTCCATTACACCCTCCTTGCGCAAAATGACGCCCCGCCATCTTACTACCGATCTTTCTGTTTCTTCACGACACTTGCCGCTTGTCTGAAATCTGCCTGGGCACTTTTCGAATCAGGTAAATCCCGTCGAGACTTCTTCTTCTTCTTCTTCTCATCGTTTCGATTTCTCGGTCCTCCCTTATGGGGCCTTAGCTTTCGCGTCCATTATTTTTATATATATATTTTA